TTTCAACAATAGAAATAATTAAATATTATTTAGGGTTATTTAATAAACCACGTGGAAGTTATTGGAGAGAACCAAAGTTTCCAGATTTCTTTTCTTCTTCATTCTTCTTCTTCCCCGTGAGACCAAACTAAAGGTGAGTTTTCTTGTTAATCAAATTCTTGATGAATTTAAGGTTACTTATTGATCATTAGATGATAACTAAGCTTAAGGAAAACTTAGTTATCTTAAAACCATAAGATGATGGGGTTAGGAAGGATTAAAGAAAGGAAGTAGAAAAGTAAAATCTTGGATTAGAATTCATAATAAGAATTAGAAGTGGGATTTGACTTTTCATCAAGCTAATTAAAGGATATGAAGTGTCAGAATTCGATTTAGAACATGTTGGAAATTGAGTGAAATTCTTAAATTTTATATGGAGAATTGGATTTCTAAGTTTTAAAGGTATCGAATGGATAATAATTAGTTTAAGTAAGTGCATACAAGTTAGGGATATAAAAGGAAGTGAAATATAAAGTGTAGAGAAGATTATAAAGAGATTTTCGTGCTTAAAATGACTTTTCTGGGCTATGTGCATCGATGCACTCTTTTAAAATATAAACATCGAATGCCATCAATGCATCGATGCATAAGGAGTGCATCGATGCACCCCCTTAAATATAAACATCAAATAGGATTTATGCATCGATGCATGGTGTGGTGCATCGATGCATGGTGTGGTGCATCAATGTATACCTTCATTAAAAGATGAAAATGACTTTTCGTTTTGCCCAATAAATGATAGTTTAGAATAAATTAATTAGTATACTAATTAGCATCAATCAATTACTCTGTAGATACCGAGCCTAAAAAAGTTCTAGAACAATTACCTCATAGGATTGATCGAGGAAAAAGCAAGGAAATATAGGTGAGTGCATATGCATAGCATGAATATGTATTCTATTCAGTTCTAGACTTGTGATAAGTCTAGATTCAATATTTTGATACATGATCGCATTTCATATTATGATACATGACATGAATTCATATTATATGCATTAAGTGACATGAATATGCAGGAAATGTTATATAAGCTATGTGATACAATGATGGAACATGATATGTTTATGTGATAAAGGTATGGAAATTATATGTCTATACAATATAAATTATGGGAATGGTGAAAGCCCATGTTATGTAGATGAGAACTATAGGTATAATTGGCATGCCAAGAGTAGAGGGTCTACGCGGTTCTTCGGGATATATATGTATTCTTTGGAACATGTGTGAGGTCTTTTAAGACACATACTTGATCCTTGGCATATGTATATGATTCTTAAATAAATTTTCTACGTGGTCCTTAGGGACAATCTTATATGGCACTACGGTACAATTCTACGCGGTATTTCGGTGCAATTCTACGTGGCACTTCGGTGCATTTATACGAGCTGTGGTGACATCATAGTGCACAACCTCACAGTACTCACATACCTTAGGTTCTCAGTATGGTATCATGAGCCAATAATCTTATTAATATGAATTCACGAATGTTAATATATTATTCTTATAGGTAAAGAACATGGTGATATAAACTGCATGGTTAAGCATTTGATTTTATCTCATTTCATTTAATAATGGCATTTCCATTACATTTATTTGTTATCATTATTATTATATTACCTCACTAAGTCGATGACTTAGCGTGTGAGTGTTTCACACGTAGGATCCGAGAAAGTAGACGATCAAGGTTAAGCAGCTGAACAACATTACTCCTATAACTATCAGATCAGTAACAACTTAATAGTATGTCATTTTGTTATGTAAATCAATGTTGGCATGTAATAGAATGTTAAGTTGTGTATGCTCTGAGTATTTTGATAAACTTGTATTAACATATGTAAATTATTATATTTTAATAATATAAGTTCAAATGTTTTATCATTTTTTTAGAGTATGGTTTTGTTTAGTCAATGTGACATCTTGGACTCATATCTGTGTCGGGTATGAGTTGAGGGTGTTATATTTAATGGTATCAGAGCTATGGTTTAGTCGATTCTAGGCATAAACCAGAGTCTATAGAGTCTTTAAATGGAATACAAGCCAACAAATAGTGAGAACTTCTGATCTGGTATAGTATGAGTATGTTGTTTTGCTAATAGAACAATGCGTTTATTTTATTAGATGTCCGGACATAGTAGCTCCCGAAGTAAAGCGGGAGAAGATAGGCCTGCTGAAAGCAGTAATTCACCTGCCCTGGCCAGGCAAGGTGAAGGACATGCATCTCAGGGAGTACCTGTACAAGATCAAGACACTTTCTTCAGGACGTTGGACGCTATTCTGACGCGTCTTCAACCTACTACCCCACCAACTCAAGGAATAAATGTAGAAAAAGAGTTGAGAGGTTTAAGAGCTCCCGAATTTAAGGGAGAAGCCAAGGAAGGTCCGATTGTGGCGGATCTTTAGTTAAATGATTTGAAAATCATGTTGGATGGTCTCCACTGCTTTGAAGTAGAGAAGCTAGATGGAGTTGTCTCTTTACTGAGGGGTCATGCGAGGATATGGTGGACGAACGTCACCATGAGGATGTCAAGTAACCAATTGACTTGGTCTTTGTTCTTAGATGAATTTAAAAACAAGTACATTGGAGATCAATTTATTCGGCAGATGAAGCAGGAGTTTATGAACTTGAAACAGATGAACCGCTCTGTATATGAGTACGAATGTGAGTTCAAAAAGCTGAGCGGGTTTGCATCTGAGCTTGTGCCTATTGAAAAAGAGGCTTGTGAATGGTTTATGGAGGGCTTACGCCCTAGATTGAAAGAGATGTTGATAATATTGAATTTGTCCTTGTTCCAAGAGGTGATCAATCATGCCAAAGCTCTTGAAAGAGCTCAGAATGAGATATTTTGGGAATCAAGAGTTCATACATCAAAGAGGACGGGTGCTTCTTCTAGCTCAGCACCACCAAAAAGAGGAAGAGAAACAGGATTTTGATCACAAGCTATATCATAATCAGTTGCATCATCAGCTAGGGGAGCAAGTCAGTCAGTGGGATCTGGTGCTGGGAGATCTAATTAGGGTCAAGCAAGACAGTGTCAGTATTGTGAGAAAAACCATTTTGGTGCTTGTTGGATGACTGCTGGGACTTGTTTCCGATGCGGAGATGTCAGACATTTTATCCGGGATTTTCCGTTGATGGTTGGTGAGTCTGCACCATCTGAAAGAGTTGATTCTGCCTCACAGAGAGGATGAGGAAGAGGCAGAGGAAGGAACCAGTTTGAATCCTCTGCTCAACCTGAAGTTCGATCAACCGCACGAGTGTACAATCTAAATACAAGTGAAGACCGTGATGACCCTGATATTATCGAAGGTACTTTTCAACTGTATGATAAATTAGTATTGTTACTGATTGATTCGGGCTCTAATTATTCTTACATTACGAGTAAGTTAGTAAAGGAATTGAGGATTTCCTTAGAAGCTACGAGTAATGAGATTATAGTAACTAATCCTTTAGGCCATTGTGCTCGGGTGAACAAAGTCGGTAAGGGGTGTCTCATTAAGATTCAGGGAATTCAATTCCCTTCTAATCTGATGGAATTACCCTTTGACGAGTTTGAAGTGATTCTGGGAATGGATTGGTTGTTCCGTTACTATGGAGATATTAATTGTAGATCGAAAAAAGTAACCCTGAAAAGTCCAGGAGAAACAGAAATAAGTGTTATCAGTGAAAGATTTAATCCTTTAGCAAATGTAATATCAGTAATGTTTGCTAAGAAGCTATTGCTACAGGGATGTCAGGGTTTTCTTGCAAATGTGATAGATATCAGAGCTAAAGAGAAAGGTTTGGATGAGATTACAATAGTTCGGGAATTCCTTGATGTTTTCCCTACTGAGTTACCCGGATTACCTCCAGATAGATAGGTAGAATTTCAAATTGAAGTAATGCCGGGCACAACTCCGATTGCAATGGCACCTTATCGGATGGCTCCGAAAGAATTGCAAGAGTTAAAGAATCAATTGCAAGAGTTGTTAGAAAAGGGATTTATTCAACCAAGTGTGTCACCTTGGGGAGCTCCGGTGTTATTTGTTAAGAAGAAGGATGGATCAATGCGTCTTTGTATTGATTATCGAAAACTTAATAAGGTGATCATCAAGAATAAGTATCCCCTTCCACGCATTGATGACTTGTTTGATCAGTTAAAAGGAGCTTCGGTATTTTCAAAGATTGATCTACGTTCAAGTTATCACTAATTGAAGATTCAAGAGAAAGATATTCCGAAGACAGCATTCAGAACGAGATATGATCATTATGAATTCATTGTAATGCCATTCTGAGTAACGAATGCACCTGCTGCTTTCATGGATCTCATAAACATGATTTTTCAGCCCTATTTGGACCAGTTTGTTGTTGTCTTTATTGATGAGATACTAGTGTATTCAAAATCCATTGAAGAGCACAACACACATCTGAGGATAGTTTTGCAAATTCTCAGGGATAAGAAGCTTTATGTAAAATTGTCCAAAAGTGAATTTTGGTTAAATGAAGTAATTTTCTTGGGGCATGTGATCTCGGAAGATGGGATTAGAGTGGACCCTCAAAAGGTTAAAGCTATAATGGACTGGGAAGTTCCCAAGAATGTATCCGAAGTTCGAAGTTTCATTGGACTTGCCGGTTATTATCGAAGATTTGTTAAGAATTTTTCGATGATAGTGCTGCCTTTAACGAAGCTGATGAGAAAGAATGTACTGTTTGTTTGGACTTCTGAATGTCAAGAAAGTTTTGAAGCTTTAAAAAGAATTCTGACAGAAACTCCTGTATTGGTTCAACCATAATCTGGTAAGCATTTTGTCGTATACAGTGATGCGTCCCATAGCGGGTTGGGGTGTGTATTAATGCAAGAAGGGAATGTGGTAGCGTATGCATCGAGGCAGTTAAAACCACATGAAAAGAATTACCCCACCCATGATTTAGAAATGGCTACAGTGGTGTTCGCTCTTAAGATTTGGCGTCATTATCTGTATAGAAAATGATGTTATTTATATACAGATCATATGTGCTTGAAATACTTGATGACTCAAAAAGAGCTTAATTTGAGAAAAAGGAGATGGGTTGAGTTTTTGAGAGATTATGATATAATAATTGACTATCATCCCCAAAAGGCTAACGTGTTAGCATATGCTTTGAGTAGAAAGATGTTTGCAGCTTTACGAGTTATGGATGCAAGGTTATCTTTAACTTGAGATGGTAGTCTATGTGCAGAGTTAAAACTTAAACCAGCATGGTTGGAACGAATAAGAGAATTGCAAAGTAAAGATGAAAGGTGTTTGAAAAGAATTGATCAAGTAAAGTGCAAAGAGATTAAAGACTTTGAGGTTAAGTCGGATGGAAATTTGTATTATAAAGGAAGAATTTTGATACTAGATTATGAAGAGTTGAAGAAAGATTTATTGACAGAGGGTCATTGCAGTCCATTGATGATGCAACCAGGTGGAACTAAGATGTATATGGATTTAAAAGATCAGTATTGGTGGCCAGAGATGAAACGAAACATTACTGAATTTGTGTCCAAGTGCTTAACATGTCAACAAGTCAAAGCCGAACATCAAGTTCTGTCTGGATTGTTGCAACCACTTTCCATTCCACAATGGAAGTGGGAAAATGTCACAATGGATTTTGTTTCGGGGTTACCCCTGACTCCAAATAAAAGAGATTCAATTTGGGTAATTGTTGACCGATTGACCAAGTCAACACATTTTCTTCCTGTCAAAACAGATTTCTCTATGGAAAAGTATTCGGAGCTATATATTAGAGAAATTATTAGATTGCATAGAGTACATATTTCTGTAGTTTCTGATCGAGATCCTCGATTCACCTCGAGATTCTAAAAATCCTTACATGGAGCGTTGTGGACTCGTTTAAATTTTAGCACAGCTTTTCACCCTCTGACAAACGGACAATCAGAAAGAACAATTCAAATATTGGAAGATATGTTGCGAGCATGTGTAATTGAGTTTAAAGGGTCATGGGAGAAATACTTACCACTGGCGGAGTTCACTTACAACAATAGTTATCAGTCCAGTATTAAAATGGCACCTTATGAAGAGTTATATGGGAGGAAGTGTCGTACACTATTAAATTGGTATGAGCTCAAAGATCGAAATGTACTTGGTCCAGATTTGATTCAGGATATGGAAGAGAAAGTTCAAGAAATTCAGCATAACCTAAAGGTGGCATTTGATCGGGAAAAGTCCTATTCGGACCTTAAAAGAAAGGAGATTGAATTTAAAGTTAGGGATAAAGTATTTCTGAAGGTATCACCACGGAAAAAAGTATTACGATTTGGTCGGAAATGAAAGTTAAGTCCTAGATTCATCGAGCCTTATGAAGTTGTTAAAAGAATAGGACCAGTAGCATATCAGTTATCTTTGCCACCAGAAATGGAGAAAATCCCTAATGTTTTTCATGTATCCATGTTACGAAGATACATGTCTGACCCTTCTCATGTTGTTGCACCAGAACAAGTGGAAGTTCAACCTGATTTGACCTATGAAGAGGAACCAATACAAATTTTGGCTCACGAAGTTAAACAATTGAGAAATAAATCGGTTCCATTGGTCAAAGTTCTTTAGAGGAATCACAAAGTAGAGGAAGCCACGTGGGAACGTGAAGAAGATATACGATTTCAATATCCTCATCTATTCGTGTAATGAAAATTCAAGGACCAATTTTCTTAAGGGATGGAGATTTGTAACATCCTCCATACCGGGTTAGTGATCAAATTGTGAAATTTTAAAATTTAGTGACTAAAGTAGATAAATTGAATAGTTGAAAGATTTAATGGGAATGTGTTATGTAGAATGGATAAGAAAAGAAGGAAAATTAAGATGGCAAATGAGTCTTTTAGCAAGAGAAATAATTAAATATTACTTAGGGTTATTTAATAAACCACGTGGAAGCTATTGGAGAGAACCAAAGTTTCCAGATTTCTCTTATTCTTCATTCTTCTTCTTCCCCGTGAGACCAAGCTAAAGGTGAGTTTTCTTGTTAATCAAATTCTTGATGAATTTAAGGTTGCATATTGATCATTAGATGATAACTAAGCTTAAGGAAAACTTAGGTTATCTTAAAACCATAAGATGATGGGGTTAGGAAGGATTAAAGAAAGGAAGTAGAAAAGTAAAATCTTGGATTAGAGTTCATAATAAGAATTAGAAGTGGGATTTGACTTGTCATCAAGCTAATTAAAGGATATGAAGTGTCAGAATTCGATTTAGAACATGTTGGAAATTGAGTGAAATTCTTAAATTTTATTTGGAGAATTGGATTTCTAAGTTTTAAAGGTATCAAATGGATAATAATTAGTTTAAGTAAGTGTATGCAAGTTAGGGATATAAAAGGAAGTGAAATATAAAGTGTAGAGAAGATTATAAAGAGATTTTCGTGCTTAAAATGACGTTTCTGGGCTGTGTGCATCGGTGCACATTGAATGTGCACCGATGCATCAAGGATAAATCCCAGAAATTGTTCAAGGTGTATCGATGCACTCTTTTAAAATACAAACATCGAATTCCATCAATGCATCGATGCATAAGGAGTGCATCGATGCGCCCCCTTAAATATAAACATCAAATAGGATTTATGCATCGATGCATGGTGTGGTGCATCGATGCATACCTTCATTAAAAGATGAAAATGGCTTTTCTTTTTGCCCAAGAAATAATAGTTTAGAATACATTAATTAGTATACTGATTAGCATCAATGAATTACTCTGTAGATATCGAGCCTAAATAAGTTCCAGAACAATTGCCTCATAGGATCGATCGAGGAAAAAGAAAGGAAATATAGGTGAGTGCATATGCATAGCATGAATATGTATTCTATTCAGTTCTAGACTTGTGATAAGTCTAGATTCAATATTTTGATACATGATCGCATTTCATATTATGATACATGACATGAATTCATATTATATGCATTAAGTGACATTAATATGTAAGAAAGGTTATATAAGCTATGTGATACAATGATGGAACATGATATGTTTATGTGATAAAGGTATGGAAATTATATGTCTATACAATATAAATTATGGGAATGGTGAAAGCCCATGTTATGTAGATGAGAACTATAGGTATAGTTGGCATGCCAAGAGTAGAGGGTTTACGCGGTCCTTCGGGATATATATGTATTATTTGGAACATGTGTGAGGTCTTTTAAGACACATACTTGATCCTTGGCATATGTATATGATTCTTAAGGAAATTTTCTACGCAGTCCTTAGGGACAATCTTATATGGCACTACAGTGCAATTTTACGCGACACTTCGGTGCAATTCTACGTGGCACTTCGGTGCATTTATACAAGCTGTGGTGACAGCAAAGTGCACAACCTCACAATACTCACATAACTTAGGTTCTCAGTATGGTATAATGGGTCAATAATCTTATTAATATGAATTCACGAATATTAATATATTATTCTTACAGGTAAAGAACATGGTGATATAAACTGCATGGTTAAGCATTTGATTTTATCTCATTTCATTTAATTATGGCATTTCCATTACATTTCTTTGTTATTATTATTATTATATTGCCTCACTAAGTTGATGACTTAGCGTGTGAGTGTTTTACACGTAGGATCTGAGAAAGTAGATGATCAAGGTTAAGCAGCTGGACAACATTACTCCTGCAACTATCAGATCAGAAGTAACTTAATAGTATGTCATTTTGTTATGTAAATTAATGTTGGCATGTAATAGAATGTTAAGTTGTGTATGCTCTGAGTATTTTGATAAATTTGTATTTACATATGTATATTATTGTATTTTAATAATATAAGTTCAAATGTTTTATCGGTTTTTTTTAGAGTATGGTTTTGTTTAGTCAATGTGACATCCTGGACTCATATCCGGGTCGGGTATGAGTTGTGGGTGTTACAACTGTTCACAGTACTATTCCTTACTCTTTATGGTACTGTTTATACCGTATAGTACTATTCATAAAAACTTTTTCGCCTTAAATTTGTTATAATGAAACATAATTCAACAATATATTATCGTATTTTCTTAATATAAGTCTAAATATTTTGTTATTTTGTAAGAATATTGTTTTAAAAATTCAATGTGACATCTCGGACTCGTATCCGGGTCGAGTACAGGTTAGGGTGTTACAATACACATATGTACCATATCAGAATCATATTCACTTCACCTCATGGCATGCCAATTATACCTACGACTCTCAATGTAACATACAATGTGTAACACCCCCAACCCGTACCAGACCCGAATACGAGTCCGAGGTGTCACATTGACTTTTCAAACTTTGACTCATGACAAAAACTCGAGAAAATTTAAAACTTTTATTAAAGTCACAGCGGTTTGTTTAACTCAATCAATTAGTACATGCCAACTATATTCAATATACATAATACATCTAATTCAATACATCTTTTCTGATCTGATCTTCGGTAAGAAGTAACTGACTGGTCTTGCTCCTCTTCACTTTTCTTTTAGCTTTCCGGAACCTACGTGTGAAACACTCACACGCTAAGTCGATGACTTAGTGAGGCATAAAAACATATAACCACTACTAATGCATTCATAATCTATACTTATTATATCATACAAAATCATACATTCTGTCATGCAACCATTATCCACTTGTACACACACATCATTGACATATTCTTATAATAGGTTTCATAGCACAAAACATGTAAATCATATGTAAGGTATTTATTATTATCTCTTTATTAGTCTTATTTTCGTTCTTTATCTTTTTGTCATATGTTCTTGCATCAATTCCTCTTAAACAAGCTATATTTACATCATCATATCACATATCACTTCACACCATAAAGATTACAAACCAATCACATACAATCATACAAGGTTCTTTTATATTATTTCCTTTATTAGCCCATGTACACATGTGAGAACCATAGATATGTGAGTCTATAGAGGTTGTGCACTAATGTTGTCACCACAGCTCGTATAATTGCACCGAAGTGCCACTTAGAATTGCACCGGAGTACCGCGTAGAATTGCACCGTAGTTCTATATAATAATGTCCATAAGGACCACATATCATTCCTTAATAATCATATACATATACTAGGGATCAAGTATGTGTCTCACAAGACTTCACACATGTTCCAAAGAATATATACATATCCCGAAGGACCGCGTAGACCCTCGACTCTTGGCATACCAACTATACCCCTAGCTCTCAAGACACATAACATGGGCACTATCTTTTATATCCTTGCACATATTCATGTAAACATATCACATATTCATATAAGCTCGTAGCTTCATTCACACATACATGTAATCACGTAGTTCATGTAAATTCTCATATGATTTCATATTCATATAATCACGTAATTCACTTACACATAGCATATTTTCATGTAATTCACAGATATCCCTTAACTTATATCTCTTGATCATTTAATCATAACTTCTTATCACATATCTCATAGTCACGTCTTCCTATATTCATTTCATCACACAGGCTCATAGTTTCTGGTCATATTATTCACATTCTCTGACTTATCTCTTATGATCTGGTAACCACTACACTTATTTCATATAACTTATTACCGAATAATTCACATATAAACACCTAGATCACTTTCACATAACTTATATAAGTTTCCTGAATCCTTTCATATTACCTGATAATGTATATCATATAGGTATATAATAACTTATCTCATTTCATCTACTTTATGCTTTATTTCTTTATATTCCCTTAGATTATTTAACTTATGTCGTATTTCTAAACATATATAGTACACTTAATCATATTTTATTTATATACTACTTTAATCCATTTAATTAATTCAATTGCATGCATTTCTTATAACCTTTTCATATAACCCCATAGATCTTTAGCATATAATTTATCATATATATATACATATCAGCGCTTTATATTTAAGTTCCCTAATAGATATATTATTCTCATTCCATTCTATAATTCAATCTTATTTAGTTTCCTCAATTCTCATTAAATCAAATAACTCTATTTTACTAATTCTCATAACCATGTATTTCACATAGTCTTATATTTCATTATCTTATTACTTATATTTATTCTCCTATGATTCTTCATAAACCTCTATTTCCATTTCCCTACATCTCTTGACTTATCTTCTATATTCATATAATTTCATAACTTATTTGATATTCTCTCATTAACACTTAATAGTGTGTGTACATAAACCACATAGCACATACAAAACATATCAATTCATATAATCAAGCATACATACACTCATATTCAACTCATGCCTTTAATCATGAATTCATATGTAACTCTTCAGGAAATAGACTCATCACAAGTCTTCTTCCCATCACCCATCATATACTATTGAATATGCACTCACCTGGCCTCACTAGTCAATTCCAATCTCTTATCTTTCTCTTTGATCGATCTTACTTGACAATGATTCCGGAACTCGTTCAGGCTCTGAATCTACATAATTATACATTTTTAAGACAATTATTAGATACATACATCTTGTAATTCGATACTAACAACTTAAACGAACTTAATAAACCAATATTCATTTCTTCCTTTAGGGGAGGGAATCTGTTCCCTCCTATGGGGGTATCGGTTCCCCCATGACATTCTGTAAATTCTGGTTCGTTTGAGGGGGTATCGGTTCCCCTTGAATGGGTACCGATCCCCCTAGCCCAGAAATCACATTTTTCAGCACGAAAATTACTTCATTTCCTCTCAAACACTTCATATATCATCCCCTTTCTTATTCTTAACTTACATATACATGCTTAAACTCATTACTACTCATTCAATACATCTTTAACTTCAAAATCTAATTATCTACATAGAATTCAAGAATCATACCAATTTTTCCATGTTACCCAAACTTAATTCTAACACTTCTAGCTTCTTATTCTCATAGATGACAAGTCAAATTCAACTTCCAATTTGAGTAATGAACTCTATTCCAAAATTTCATTCAAAAACTCTTAATCTTTAATCTCTCCTAATTCCATCATCCTTTGTTTTTAAGATGATTTAAGCTTTCCTAAAGCTTAATTATCATCCAATAATCATAATCAAATCCTAAATTCAGCTAAATATCAACTAACAAGAGATCTTACCTTTGCTTATGGCTTCACGGTGGAAAAGAAGAGAA